CTCTATGGCCAAGCTCTGACAGTCCCAGGAAGGTGGTAGCCTAATCTTTATGAAAATTTTGAAATAAAAAGAAAAACTAATAGACATTTTTGTAGAATTTTTAAAAAAGTCACTAATGGGATAAAAAGCAAACTCTCCTCCTTTTCTTTCCCTGTGGGGCAAAAATAAAATTAGAAAATAAAGTCATCAGACTTGCCCTCATACTTCCATTTGACCAAAGAAGCAGGGCCAAGACTGGCACCCACTCGAGGACCCTGGTGGGGGCTGCCTCAGGTCTCTGGCAATGGACTCAGTATAGGAGGGCACACACAGCACGAGCTCCAGGGGCGTCTCTTGGAAAGACTCTGATTTGTGCAATGCCCCTGGAAGCAGGGCTGCACCAGCAAAAAAAGGCCCCATGTTAGAGGATCCCAAGGTTACAAAATGTCCAGAATAGGCCAATCCATACAGACAGAAAGTAGTAAGTGATTTCTAGAGACTGGGGCATAGGACAAATAGGGAGTGACTGCTAATGGATCCAGTTTCTTTTGGGAGGTGATGGAAATGTGTTGGAATTAGATAGTGGTGACACACGCACAACTTTACGAACATACCAAACACTGAACTGGACACTTTACAAAGGCTAGAATTACACCTCGGCAAAACAATGGGGTGGCATGAGAGTAGATCTACTTCAGTAACAGAGGCTCACACAGAGCAGTGGCCTGCCTTCTCCTCCCAGGAACAGAGCGAAGAAGTCAAGAGATGACACCAATTCTGTCAACAGCTCTTGACAATGAGAAGGCTGGAATTCGATTTCAAGTTGCCTGTGCACGGTGGCCAAAGTCTGGAATCGTAGAAGAAGATCTAAGGCCGTGCTCCCGAAGGGAAATGGTGTACCAGAAAACAAGAGTAACCAGTAGGAACGGGGGCCTCTTAAGGCCCTAAATGCCCCTCCATGAGTGGAGGCCAGGCCTCCAGCCATCTGGGTTCCAACACCCCACCCCTGACCCGAAGCCAGGTACACTGGGGTCCCACCCACAGTTTTCCCAGGAGTGAGTCCTAAGACAAGCCAGGAAGCCATGGGAGCTTTTCCAAACTTGACTTCTGTGCTCTGCAGCCTCTAAGCCCCGTGCTGACCATTATGTGGTGTGGGCCTCCCCGAGACGGACGAAGAGGAGAGGAACCAGCAGGGAACCAGAGCAGATGCTGAGAAAGGCCGAGACTGGCAAGAGTTGGGCAGGATGGCCACTCCCTTCCAGGGTCACTGCAGCCACAATGACCTTAAGATATCCATCATATCACGTCACTCCCTATTTCTATTTAAAATCCATCCAAGACCATCAGAAAACCTGCAAACTCCCTTCAACCACCTGGAATCAATGCGCCCTGACCCTCTGGCCATGGGCCCTGGCCACCGCTCTTGGGCCCCCTCACCTCTCTCCAGGCTTCCAACGCCCAGCTCCTGGCACCTGTGGCACCTCCACCAGGCTCTGCTCTTGGCTCACCTGGCACTTTCTCAAGCCTTAAGTCAAACAGACTCTCAGAGAAATATGTGTGTGTGTGGGGGGTTCTTCCTGCTATTCCCTACCCCAGCTCACTGTCCATTTTCTTCACTGCTTACCTCCCACCCTCGGTCAGCATGGGACTACTCACCGCAGCCTACCATGGCAGACTGTGCCCTCACAGAGAACGGACAGCATGTCCACCCAGTCCCCAGAGCAGCTACTGGGCTGCTACCACTGGGCCTGGAGTGTGGCTGGATTCGATTCTTGCTAAACAGAGGAACCCGCACTCTCTAGAAGAACTCTGGCTGGGGAGCACAGGGAGAATTATAAGGCGCAAGAGAACAATTAAAAAGAAGGGGATCACGGGTCACATTTTAAGTAAAACGGACTCAGGTGCCACTAACAATACCATTTGCAACGATTTTCTGACAATCACACAATGACACCGGTTAAGCAATGAACAAACTTGATCAGACGAATGTCTAACACTGACTGCCTCAACGTTACTCACTGGGGGTCTGTTTGCTTTATACCGTGCTCACAATCCCATGTCACCTTGACACAGCAGAGGTCAGGTAGGGTCCCAGGGTCAGCAGGCCATTTTCCCCTCCCTTGCAGCCCATCGAGTGTAACAAGCCGCTCCACATCGGGGGCTCAAAACATGGGTCGACACTGGACTCCTTTACAGGCTGTAAAAGATCAAAGAGCCTAGGACCCCCCCAATCCCAGGCTGCACCCCATACCAGTTACACTAGAACCTCTGGAGGTAGGGCCCAAGCGTTAGGATTTTTGAAAGCTCCTTCAAGTAACTCCGATGGGCATCCAAGGCTGAGAACCATTGTTTTAGGGAGAAGTCCAAATACCACAGAGAGCAACCTTCACTTAATTCCCGTATGGTCATAGAATGTTCTCTTTAATTTAAAGGTGAAAGAGTTGGGCCTATCAAAAGGAAGCATCCTGTGAATAAATACCACTCTAGAGATACTCATCATTTCCTGAATTTTTGCTGCAATCATTAAATTCCCTTTATAAGATTTTTAGCACTTTTCCAGCTCCTAGTATGGCATACTACAAATGTCCCTTTGCCTCAGAATATTCAACTAGAAAAGAAAGTATATATACTTGGTGAATGGAATAATTCTAAAACGGGTAAAACCCATGTACCTGACACACTTAGAAATATGAATATCTTTATCATTTCACAGAATTCTGAGCAATAGACAGGAGCATTTAGCTTCCTGGAAGTAAAAAGAGCCAATTCTATTCAGTTGACTATGCAGAGAATGAAAGAATGACTACAAAAAAGTGATTAAAAAGAAAAAAAAAACCCTGAAATTGACTTGCTTTAAAATTGGACTAAAAAAGAGATTCCTGCTAGAATTAATCCACTTCAGATCAAGGAGAAACATACCGGAGTTCCGCCCATAGTCACATCAGCTTCTGCCCACACCTGGATCTACATACCCCACCTAGGAACAGACTTTTAGTTTATGAAAGCCCACACAAATGACCTCATCACACTAACAGAGAAGGTTATGTTTCTCACAGGGTTATGTGCCAAACGGTACTGACATGGAAAAGGATTTTATGCTGCTCAGTATTTCCAAATATCCATATTCCTTTTGGTTCAAAATTACTCAAGCAGCAAGGCAGTTACTCAAGTGCTACCCCGGATTTGTTCAAAATGGTATCAACAACCTCTAAACCATGAACCTGAATCATGCTTCAAACTTTTTTTCCTAAACTTTTATTAAAGGAACTCTTGTAAGCGGACTACACAATCAGAAGAAAAGTAAAGGAATGTACTTTTATGTTATTTTGTCTGAGAGCACAGACACATCACCCACGCCACTTTGAATCTGTGTTGCCTCCAAACTTTCCATACACACCATATTATCAGTCGATTACATTTTATGAAAAACCATTCTTCCTGCCCCTTTTTGCAGTGACCTGAAAGCCATACCAGTTTTCCTGGTTTGCCCTTCTTTGGTATACACATGTAACCTGGGTGGTACTTAAACAAGTAATGCTGGAAGAGGGTAAATGCTTTTCTCACCATGAAGACAAGAACTCCAAACTCATAAGCAAGTAGGAGCCTAACATCGTCAGACTTTATGGAGTGATTCCAAGTGATTCTGCACCAGGAGAATACAGTAACTTCAATTTAACTGCTCAAATCAGAACTCACGTCTACGTGTTTCCTCCTTTCTAGCCAAATACTAAATTCTAGCTTGTTCAGTAATAGACACAGGATGTAATACATGGGTTATCTGTGTGTTAGCCTCCCAGCTGGAAAGTTCTTCCTCCTTTATGAGTGAGAAAATTTGCAGAGACCAATTCAATGAAAGTAAGACCCACCAGCTTTCTTGGGTAGAGCTACAGACTAAAACAACTTATATGTGGCAAAAATTCTGATTTGAATGAATGAAAACATGAAATTGTAGAATATTTTCAAAATAAATACTGTAGAGTGAAAACCTCAAATAGGAAAAAATTCAGATCCTAATCTGCTAAGATTCATTTTTAAGTTTAATTACATAAATGAGTCATTTATATAACCAAGGAGTTATATTAGGAATGCATCTTTTTTTTTTTTTTTTTTGAAGATTTTATTTATTTGTCAGAGAGAGCACAAGCAGGGGAAGCAGCAGGCAGAAGTAGAGGCAAGCAGAGGGAGAAGCAGGCTCCTCGCTGAGCAAGGAGCCTGATCCTGGACTCCGTCCCAAGACCCTGGGATCATGACCTGAGCCTCCCCGGTGTCCCATTAGGGAAGCATCTTACAAGGTTCTTTTTGGGGGGCGCCAGGTGGCTCAGTCAGTTCAGCATCTGCCTTGGGCTCAGGTCATGATCCCCGATCCTTGGATGGAGCCCCTAGTCCATTGGGCTCCCTGTAGGGAGCCTTCTTCCCCCTCTCCTCCCCACTAGAGCTTTCTGGTGCTATCTCTACCTTTCTCTCTCTCAAATAAATAAAATCTTTTTTTAAAAAAAGGCTGTTTTTGTTTATATACGGGCAAGTGTTCTCCATTTGCCTTTAGTAAGTGGCTAGTCTTTTCAAAATCAAGAAGGCAAAATTCTCCCCAGGTTCTGAATTAACGGTAATTCTGAATTAGGAGAAGTCTCATTTGATGGGGTTTTACTCTCAGACATGTAAGTATAAAGTGAAATTAAAATAATTATTAAAATAATTATTAAGAAGAAGGGATCAGCTCTCTGTACCCAGCTGAGATCTCCCTAGCAGTAAAGGCAGGACGACTTCGTTGTAGCACTTTCCATCGGAGCGCGTGTATTACAAGGGACCCGCCCAGCCAGCATAATCCGATGAAATAAGCATTTCAGCTAGTCATCAGGAGATCGGGCATCAAGTAAAGGCTCTAAAATGTGTGACCTTAAGCACCTTCTACCTTCTGTGCACTGACCGCTCTCACAGGAAAATGGGGATGTGTACTAACTAGGACAGGCCTGGTTGGGGGATGGGGAGGGGAGGTAGGGAGGGTTGCAGGGGGAGCCACTTACGAGACGTAAGCTGGGTAGCCAAATCCTATCAAGTTGCAGAGGAGCGAGGCTCCATAACCGAACACCAGGTACAAAGCCACCAGCCCGATGACACCTGGAGACACGAGGAGAGAAATGGGTCCCCTGGCACAGAAGGCGTTAAGCCGGATAGCCCCCGCCCACACCGCGAGGCTCGGCCTAGTGCGGGCGATCGAGAAAAACAAACCGCCGTAAGGCTGGGCCCGGGCCTTTCCCCGGCTTCGCAGACCGCCTGGGGACAGCCCCTACCTTCGTGCCATTCCCACTGCCCCCCTCCCGCAGGGGTCCCCCGCCGTGCAGCTCACCGGCCTAGGGAACCGCGATCCACAGAGGATCTGGAGAGGCCCCGACTCCCCCGCCCGCCCGCGACCCCTCCAGTCCCGGGGGACACCCTGCTCGGCGCTGAGCTCTGCCGAGAGCCGGGCGGGACCATGCCCGCGCGCCCGCCCGCAGGACGCCCCCACCACTCGGCGCCAAGTCCGTGCGCGGCCCCTGGGACTCGGCGCTCGGCCGCGGGGACAGACACGTCAGCGCCGGCCCTCTCCGCGTCCCGAACACCGGCCATCCCCCCCCGCCCCCGCCCCGGTCCGGGCGCCCCAGCGGGGTCTCCGGCCCCCCGGCCTGCCGGGACGGCCAGATCGATCCCGAGGATGCCCTCGCCCCCATCTGTCACACACACCCTCTCCTCCGAACCCCCTTCCCGCTCGCTTCCCCAGCAGCTGGTGCCGCGGCCGCTCCCCGGGCCCGGCCACCCGCGGCGACCGCGCACCCACCGAGCGCGAAGTATCTCCGGTTCACGCCGGTCTTGGCCTCGAGCTTGGCCAAAAGGTCGGTCATGCAGTTCTTCTCCTGCAGAAACCGGTCGAACCTCTGTCTCATGGCCGCAGACATGGCGAAAACCTTCGCGCCGCCGCCCGGACTGCTCCTAGTGCGGGTGGCCGCAGAGCCGGGTGACTGGGACGGGGGCGGAAGGCGGGAGGCCGGAGGCGGGAGGCGGGCGGGTCCCGCGCTTGTCGACGCGTCCCCCTCCCTGCGCGGCCCCCCCTCCCTGCCCCGCCCCGCTGCGGGCGCCACACCCGGCCCGGGCCGGTCCTGCGCTTCCCCGGCGGCAGAGGGGGGCCGGAGCTGCAGCGGCTCCCGGCGGGGGGACCGTACCCCGCATCTAGCCGCCTAATTCCGCCGAAGGTAGAGATGAGCGATGACTCCTGTGAGCGCCTCGCGCAAATCGCACTAGTGCAAAAGCAGGTGGTAAGGGGGAGGCCGGCGCCCCTATTGCTCCCACCCGCCGCATAGTGAGACTGGTTTGAACGGGTCTGTACCGCTGTGCTGACCCCGCCAAGGCATTTAAATTTAGCAACGGAAATGTACGACCAACCCCGAAAGAACTCTTCGTCGGAGACCTGCTTCCCCCCTCGTTGCTGGAACTCAGCATAGCTTTTCCCAATAGTCTTGGTGCAAAGACCCTTGAAGAGACTTCCCAAACCCTCCTACGGGGGAAATGGGTTCCGGGAAAGCGCTGCACTACCGAAACCTTGCTGTGGTGGAGTTGAATTTGATTGATATCTGATATCCTGGAAACGTTTCCACCCGCCGTGGGGGAGACTAGTTTGTCCTTGCCTACAGCAAAATTACCCGGAAGGAGGAAATCCAACACTCGGGGCAGGGCCTCCCTTGGCTACCATCAGAACGTCTTCCTCTACTTAAACCTTGGCTCTGGTTATCTCTCACCACACTATTTAAGGAAACTCCTTTTGAAATTATTATCTTTGTGACTCCTATGATCTACACAACGGAGGTAGAGTTTTCCTCATTGCTTAAACTTCAAAGCTTCGGGTTCCTTACAGACTAGGGCTCGCGTTCCTCAGTTAAAGCCGCACACCAGCTGGGCCAAAGCGCTTCCTCTTTGTCCCGCACAACCCCCCTTTCAAACTGGCCTAGCTACAGCACTGCCTTCCACTTCAGCCAAAAAAAAAAAAAAAAAAACTACCTTGCCCACTCCTAACTTTTCCCTTTTATGCTAATTCTCCTTTCTCTTTTCTTCCCTGGAGAGTCTTAGCTCCGTTTTCTCAGCAGTCCCACCACCATCCAGCCACATCAGTGAACAAATTAAACCAAATAAAAAATTAATGAGATTATTGTGATAGCTTCCCAGTGCATTTCTGTCTTTCCACCTACAGTCAATTCTCAGTGTGTCAGCCAGTTGGATCTTCTTAAAAATGTGGGTCAAACTGTGGATTTTGCTCTGAACCATTTGCTCCGCACTGTCAAGTAGCTTTCCATTGGTCAGAGGTGATGTGGTTTATCCCTCTGTCTTCCAATTTCATCTACGGCCTGCCTCCTTGCTGTGCCCAAAACAAGCTGAATGCATTCCTGCCTCTGGCCTTTCATCCTTCTATCTCCATGGTTCTCAACTAGGAGGGTTTTTGACCCATACAGGACATACGGCAATGTCTGGAGACATCTTTGGTTGTTCAAACAGATGGTCACAATGAGAAGTGGTTGCTGCTAGTATCCAGTAGGTAGTGCTGGGGAAGCTGCTAAGGAACCCTGCAATGTACAGGACAGCCCTCCCACAAGGCTGTCCAGCCCTCAATGTCAATAGTACTGCTATGGCGGAACCCTCCTGTATCTGAAAAGCTCCAGGTAACTGCTTAATTCTCTCCTCACACTTTTCAGGTCTTTGCCCAAATGGCATCTCAGTGGGGCCTCCTCCCGATTCTGAATTGTAATCCCCAATGTTCTCTGGCCCGTCTTGCTTTGTTTTGCTCTGTAGAACTTACTATGTGTGGCATTCTATATGTTCTGCTTTTTTTTTTTTTTAAGATTTTATTTATTCATTCGACAGACAGAGATCACAAGTAGGCAGAGAGGCAGGCAGAGAAAGAGGGAGAAGCAGGCTCCCCGCCGAGCAGAGAGCCCGATGTGGGGCTCGATCCCAGGACTCTGGGACCACGACCCGAGCCGAAGGCAGAGGCCCAATCCACTGAGCCACCCAGGCGCCCCTATGTTCTGCTTTTTAAAAAAACATATTTTTAAAAATGATGTTGTTTTATTCATTTATTGTAATTCCAGTATAGTTAACATGCAGTGTTATATTAGTTTCAGGTGTATAATGTAGTGATTCAATGGTTGGATGACTCAGTGCTTGTCGAGGTACAGGCACTCTTGGGGTGCATTGGTGGCTTAGTTAAGCGTCTGCCTCCAGTTCAGGTCATGATCTCTGGAGCCTGGGATCCACCTGCATTGGGCTCCCTGGTCAGCGGGAGTCTTCTTCTCCCTCTTCCTCTGCCCCGCCTCTGCGGCCCCCCACCCTTGCTCATGCTCTCTCTCTCTCTCTCTCTTTCAAATCAATCAATCTTAAAAAAAGAAGAAGAAGAAGAAGAGGAGGAGGAGGAGGAGGAGGTGGAGGGAGGGGGAGGAGAAGGAGGAGATGATGATGATGATGATGATGATGGAGATAAGTGCACTCTTTAATCCTCATTGCCTGTTCTGTACCCACCTCCCCTCTGGTCACCATCAGTTTGTCCCTACAGTTAGGAGTCTGGTTTTTTCCTTTGCTGATTTGTTTTATTTCTTAAATTCCACATCTGAGTGAATTCATACAGTATTTGCCTTTCTCTGACTGGCTTACTTCACTGAGCATTATGCTCTCTAGGTCCATTCATGTTGTTGCAAATGGCAAGTGTAGAGGCCACTTTGGGGCAACAGGCTTGAGCAGTGGTAGCTTGAGTAAGGTTGAAGGTTCCACAGTGACCAAAGTGCTCACAGACCACAGTGAGCTGATGCAAACAGGCTCATTAAAACATAGGCCCTAACCAGGCACAGTTCCTAAGATTACCAAAAAAGAGAAAATTCCATAGGTCCCCATATTCCCTTACCCTACCCTATAACTATAGCCCTTCACCACCACCTCATAGCAGACAGTCTCTCCTTTGCTGTCTTGCCCACAGCACCTTTGCAGTGTATTCAGTAAACTTTCCTCTCCTTTGTTCTGCCTGGGGTGAAATCTTCCACGGCCTGAGCCACAGGCCCCCACCCAATCTGGTTGTCCCACAGCAAGATTTCATTCATTTTTATGGCTGAATGATATTCCTGTGTGTGTGTGTGTGTGTGTGTGTGTGTGTGTGTGTGTGTCTGTGTGTGTAAAACCTCTGGTTTATCCATTTACCTATCAGTGGACACTCTGGCCGCTTCCATAGTTAGGTTATTGTAAATAATGCTGCAGTAAACACAGGGGTATTGAACTAGTGTTTTTGTGTTTTTTTTTATAAATGCCCAGTGATGTGATTACTGGATCAAATGGTCATTCTTTTTTTTTTTTTTTTTAAGATTGATTTATTTATTTGAGAGAGAGAGAGCGTGCACGCAAAGAGGGGTAGGGGCAAAAGGAGAAGGAGAGAATAAATTCTTAAACAGACTCCCTGCTGAGCATGGAGCCAGGCATGGGCCTTGATCCAAGGACCCTGAGATCATGATCTTAGAGGAAATCAAGAGTCAGTCGCTTAAGGGACTGAGCCACCAAGGCACCCCATGGCAATTGTATTTTAAATCTTTTTTGAGGATTCTCCATACTGTTTTCTGCAGTGGCTACACCAGTTTGCATTCCCACCAACAAGGCAAGAGGGTTCCTTTTTTTCCCCAACTTAGCCAACACTTATTGTTTCTGTGGTTTTTATTTTAGCCATTCTCTGACAGGATGAGGTGGTATCTCATTGTGGTTTGATTTGCATTTTCCTGATGATGAGTGATGTTGAGCACCTTTTCATGTGTCTGTTGGCCATCTGGATGTCTTCTTTGGAGAAAAGTCTGTCTTCTGCCCATTTTTAAATTGGATTATTTGGATTTTTTTTTTTTTATGTTGGGTTGTATAAGTTCTTTGTGTATTTTGGATACTAGCCCTTTATTGGATATGTCATTTGCAAATATCTCTCATTTAGTCTTTTAGTTTTGTTGTTTCCTTTGCTGTGCAGAAGCTTTTTATCCTAATGTAGTCTTTTTTTTTTTTAAGATTTTATTTATTTATTTGACAGAGAGAGATCACAAGCAGGCAGAGAGGCAGGCAGAGAGAGAGGAGGAAGCAGGCTCCCCGCTGAGCAGAGAGCCCGACGCGGGGCTCGATCCCAGGACCCTGAGATCATGACCCGAGCCGAAGGCAGCGGCCCAACCCACTGAGCCACCCAGGCGCCCCATCCTAATGTAGTCTTAATAGTTTATTCTTTCTTTTGTTTCCCTTGCCTCAGGAGACAATTGAAAAATATTGCTATGGCCAATGTCAGACAAGTTACTGCCTGTACTCTCTTCTATGATTTTTTTTTTAAAAGATTTTATTTATCTATTTTGTAAGGGCCTATTCAGCCAGAGCAGCCTCACCCCGGTTGAACTGCCATTTTGTTGTAAAGCTTAAATTGATTCCCCCCACCCACAGGGGAAAAGCAAGTCCGGGAACCCAGTCCCAGGTAACAAAAGTCCAAGTACAAGGGTGCGTCAGGCCAGGAGGAGGTATTCAATCAGTGGGGGCGCATACTGTCTCCTAGCTACCAAGGAGTATGGGCCCCCGCCCTTTGGGAGCCTTTTGGCACCAATCCTAACCAAGGTGTGATAGGGTAAATAGGGTAAATTGTAATTCAATTGGTCGCCTAGCATCACTGTGGAGTTTCCTGTGTGTGTTACAATCTCATTGGCCACCTGTGTGTGGCCAGGCCCAACCACATGGCCTTTGCTCTATGAAAGTTAGTCTGGAAAGCAGGGAGGGGTCGTCCTCTCTGTAGGGGCGGCCCCCACTGATCTGTTTGACGTTGGGTCTGATTCCTGATGCTTGGCACGAAATAAAGCTTTGCTTGACCTTCGCTTTGTATCAGTCTCGCTCCTTTAATTATGGACCCATTATTGGGGTACCCAGTTTTGGGGGACCAAAAATTTGACAGAAATCACAAGTAGGCAGAGAGGCAGGCAGAGAGAGAAGAGGAAGCAGGCT